CCTGGGTGGCTGGAGGTTAACCAGATTGGAGGCATCTGGCCAGTGCGGTCAGCCTTTAAGAGAAGCCCAACCGGATGCATTGGCAGCCATGCTTCCTCAAGACACCTGGTGTGACTGGGGCATGGTGGCCTACGAGAATGCCTTCTGTGAACGTTATTTGTTCCTTCTTTTGAAAATGCATGGTTTATAGTTTTGGAATAAACCTCTTTCTGTTTAAAAACCCTTAACTGCCGTAGTCATCCGTCATTTGTTGCGGTCGAGGCGCCAGACCGTAACAAATATATTACATACCATTCACCTGACTGTTGAAGAAACGCCTCTGTTTTTGAATGGGATAAAAAGCCCTTGCCATGATTCACACCATGCTATCCTTTCAAAAAAAGAATTTATGTTTCCATTCTACGCTCATAATTACGCTCACCCCACCTACTTCTGTTCTACATTTTTCTATCCATAAAGATAATGGCAAAGAAGTTCCTTTGGAATGACAAACAATGACAAATGAAATGAAGATAGATCTTTAGTTTGTTGTACGGAGTTAAAAGATGGCCAACTTTGATTAAAAAAAATCAAAAGACGATACACATATTGTTTATGCAATGATATTCACATCATGCAATATCCCTCTTACATTATCTTTTCTTACCTGCAGGTAAAATCTACTAGGTTTATCAGGATAGTGGCTTATTACAGTATTTTACAATCGCTATGTACATGTTTTCAATACTTTTAATAGTTTCCTAAACTCTTGACACAGCACAACATCCGTCTGTGTTGGCTGTACAATTAACACATTTCTTGTTGCTTTGACACAGAATGTACATTCCACCCTGTAGCCAGCAGGGGGCAGGGTGGCGCTGTTCTGCTTTAGACAGGCTTTACGACCGAGAAAGAATTTGCGACCACAACGTTGCGAGTGACGATTCCTCATTCTGCGGAGCGAGGCGCAATGACCAGACCTGTAAGAGCTGTGTGTCATTTATGTGTAAACCGCCTACATGTGTGTCCGGTCTACGGAATCACCATCATCTGCCTACTTGGTACCAATCCTGGTACCTGTAACATAAACACACATTTAAAATGCTTGAACTTCTTTTACACACAAGCTGAACCAAAACAAATCGATTTTTCCTGCCAAATTTACGAATGCTTTCACACTGTATGCCAGCGGATCAGGGGCGGATCTACAGGGGGGCAACGGGGGGCAGCTGCCCCCCCACTTTTAGAGCCCTGCCCCCCCCCAGCTGCCCCCCTTTGATGAATCAAAAAATAAAAAATCAACCCGCCATTATGTCCACACAAGCTTCTCAAAACAGTGAACTAAACAATACATTTACCAAAAGTGAACAATTTGATTACTAGCCCCCCTCCCCCCCCTCAAATGCTACGTCCCTGATTCCAACGTGCAGAGCACACAGCGAGTCTGCTGCGGAAGGTGCGCTGGTCCTGCAACCCGACTGGAGAGACTGAGCTGCCCCAGAGCCTCTGAAGGTGAAGTGAGTTTCATCAGGTGTTGTTTAAACATAAGTTTAACTTAGTTACATTTGTAATGAATGTATTGTATGAAAGAGGATTCAGCATCAGCAAAAACAGCGAGTCTATTACGTTAGCCAAAATCAGTGGTCATAAGTTATCGGTCCCCACTCCCTTGTGATTTGTAAGAGCACCCTTCCCTTTGATTGGCCTAATTTTAATTGGACTGATTTTATTAAAGACATGAACAGCCCTTTTTGAGAATGTGCTGGTTAAAATGGTACGTTGTCGCATTTGTATTCTGCCGCACAATACACAGCCTCCTAAGTCAATGACGCGCGAAAAAACCGGTTGTGTGCGCGGGTGCCGGGTGGCCAGAGCGGACATGGCAGGTGAGAGCGGTCCTATGTGTTAAAATGTGAAAGCAGTTACCGACGACGCAAAGTAAGCGTTTTGTACTGTCTGCCGCCGAGAACTGTCGATTAGCCATGGTGTCGAGACTTAACCCGCCATGAAGACGCAGAGGGGGGCGTCAGCCCGCGAAAGTGTCCCTGATTTGGAGTTGGGAAAGTTGGCAACCCTAATTGTGCGATTGCTGCAGTTTGTAACTTATGTTCAAAATGAATGAGTACATCATGAATCCATTTTCCAAACTGTTTTTTTTACTTAACCTGAATCACTACGCCTATAATAAGTGTTTATATTGTGACGATTTTATCCCGGGGTCGGCTCGGCTGCGGCGGAGTTACCCCGTGCCTGCGTGATTCGCCATAGACATTAACTGAGTGAAGTAGCTCCGGCTACAGTGTTCTTCCGCAACACTTGCGCATTGTGCACACACAGACAGCAGCATGCCAAAATACAGTTCTCTTTCTTACTTGAACTTACAAAACTTACAACACACACAATTATGCACAAACAAAATGTCCATTTGTTGAGTATCTTTTTCATAACATAAGAGCAGCAGTCTCACGGTGAACGTGAGAGTTGTGACAAAATGAGGCGCGTGTGAGATCTGCGTCTCTGTCAGCTGTTCTTAAAGAGACCGCAGCCACTAAAGCTTTCTGTCAGTAAAGCTAATCACAGAACAAAAACAACAGAGAACATTTCTCACTGCTCTTGACTAAAGAACTTTATGAATAATTTATGCAGTACAGGCTGTTTGATCACTTTATTCAATTTTGATACGTCCGAGGCCCCCTGTTAGACAGTAAGGGCTCAGGTAAATATTACATCTTTTTTTTTTTTTTTACTATTTTACTCTTGAGACAAAGTAATAATTTACTTTTTAAAAGATGCTTTGTTTTGTTTGAACAATGTTTAATTCATGTTGTGAATTAAAAACCTTAAGTTTAAAAGTGTTTTTGTGTTTGTTTTGTTAAAGCGATTCACATATAAGGATTCCCATGTACCGTCATCCCTGCCACCCTGCCAAGACCTCTTGCCACGCCTTTGTCCCCCCCATGTAAAATTTTCACAGCTGTTTATATTGTTAATCGAGACACAAATATATCCCCTGTATTATATTCCATTGCTACTGAGAAACAACTGATTCCCATCGAGGAAACACACTGAGGTGTTACTTTCTGCCCCTTACTTAGCTTTGCTCAATCCCATTTTCTCATCGTGGAAATAGAGGTTTTTCACCATCGTCCACAAGACCAAAAGTCCCTCCTGGATGCAATGGATGCTGCATGTCAACCTCAACCATGCAAGACATCACAGCTGAACATTGCCAGGGGTGGATAAGGCATGCCAAAAGATCTTTCCCAAGATGCCTTGCCAGATAAGATATCATGTGTGATGTGGATGATAACATGTGGCCAAATGCAGAAGACTGGGCAGATTAGATTACGTAGATGTTTTTTGGGGGGGTCTTTTTCTGTTTTTCATATTTACGTAGCATTTTCACATACAGTAATATAAATGGCAGCTATATTGCATATCTTGCAGTAATGTCCCGTTGCAAATAAAGCCTTTACTGCAGCAATTATGTTAAGTGTTAAGTGTCTTCTTTTTTTCAATACATTGTTCTGAATTTCTGAAGCAAAAGAAACAAAATGCATGCATTTACTAAACCCAACAAAACAAAAATGTAGAGAGGCGTCAAAAGGAACTTGGCAAACACAATATATCATCCATATACTGTGAGATCTGCCGTATATAAAAGAAATTGTCATCATTCTGATTTGAATGTGCTTTTATCAGTTTTCAAAGCAGTGTGATAGCATATGAAAAATACCCTGCACATTTTTTGCAGTTTGTGCAGTGTAGAGGCTAAGCCAACGCTTTAAGCCATAGAGGCATTTTGTCCGGAAACCCTAATTGACGCGCCGTTGTTGTACCATGAGGGATGAATGAGAGTCCTGTAGCCTTTGTGTTAAATTGAAAACGAGTCCATTTATTTGCCAATTTACTCCTGTCACACGTTTAACAGACATCCAACCGGAACGTTACATGACACTGTTTTCCTATTTCGGCTAGAAACACCTGCCGAGCCCCCAAAAGGTTTCTACCCTATATAGGCTGACCGGCCCATCAATCAGATCCTTTACACAAATCATAATGGCTCTTACATGCAGTATGAATGACAAATGTGTGTTTGATTTTGAAAAATATGGTGATTGAATGCATTTTGTCTGAAAGAAATGGAAAATGATTCACAGTTTAGTCCGTATACTCTCGTGTATCGCTGACTGTGTAAAGGGTTTTGAAAATGGGCTTGAATAATACTTGTTAGCAATTGAGAAAACTGTAAACTTATCTGGCATTGTTTGAATAAAAAAAATGAATCTCTTAGGCAAAGCAAAAGATGCACCCCTCCCACTTCTTTCTAACTGAACAAACCTGATTTACAGGGAAAACAAAGGCGATTACCTTAGTGACGCTATTGTGAAACATATCAATAGAACATGGCAGTGTTTCAATCTCGGTAAAGCCTTAGTGGTGTTTTAAATAAAGGCAGGGTATGTCATCTTCTTTAAAAATATGTTATATATTTTTGTTATATTTCTCATTACGTCCTGATATCACTAATCTAATCTAATTCTGAAAAAGAATATCTTAAATCTAACGCTGTAGCAGGACTATAATAAGCCCATACAATAGACTCAATTATCCTGGATGTAATTACTCTGTGTCTGCCTTGCACTGAAACTCACTGAAACTGAGTCTTCCACAAGCGACTAGCTTGACATATGAGACTGCTACAAATATTTGCATTCATAATGCTTGTGAAATTACTTTTGGGGAGGCCTAAGGATAAAAACTGTTAGTCGATGCGACTTGGCAACTCTCTTGCTAGATCTTTTAACTTTTAAAAGCGAGCTCTACTTTCATCTCTCACTTGAAGAGGAATGGCAAACATGTGCTTGGTTTATCAGATGGATGATTTAATTAATCGAGCGTACCATTGCTAGTTGCTCAAGATAAGCAAAGTAGCCTTCTAGATGTCCTTTACATTCAATATTCCTTGTTACATTTTCTATTTAGGGATGAAAATTGTAAAACACCAGCAAAAAGGATGATTTAAATTCTTCAAAGATTGTTTATTTTAATTATTCATCAGAATACAGCTATGCATGGTTAGATAAATACACATTGTATGAATAAGAAAATTGACAGTGCCATATTTTGACATGTGAGTATACCAATACCATAGATATAAGTTCATTCAAACAAGGATGAAAGAGATTTAATGGTTTCACTTTGTAATTTGGCTTATTTGACTTGTTTCGGGAAAAAACCCCGAAAAGATAGCATTTGTAACCCTCATTATGTCAAATATTGCTAAAGTGCAGTGCTCATGGAAGCAAAAGTAATTTGAAGTGCAAACAGTATAACTAGTTTCTGAATATCCCAGGGTTTATGAGTCATTTGTTTAGCTTAATAGTGTCATGATGATTAAAATAGACCCGGTGCTTAAATTTAGCATAATTCATCACTATCATTTAATCTGACAAACGAAGGTTCATCCACATCTCCAAAAGAATCTTAGATCTTTGTTGAAGACAAAGTATTTTTTTTGTTTAACTAGCAATCACATTCATGTTGTGGAAGTGGAAATCAGCACTAACGGTGTTGTTGGCTTTACAGTAACCAAGACAACACTATCAGGCAGGATGCTGTAACGAGACTGATCTTCTGGCTTACTCCACTTGGAACCGCTGAAGATGCAGCAACTGTTGTTGTTGCAGTTACAGCTACCACTGTAGGTGGTTTAGTTATAGGAGCAGCTGTTGTTGTTGTTGTTGCAGTTACACCTACCACTGTAGGCGCTTTAGTTATAGGAGCAGCTGTTGTTGTTGTTGTTGCAGTTACACCTACCACTGTAGGTGGTTTAGTTATAGGAGCAGCTGTTGTTGTTGTTGCAGTTACACCTACCACTGTAGGCGCTTTAGTTATAGGAGCAGCTGTTGTTGTTGTTGTTGCAGTTACAACTACCACTGTAGGTGGTTTAGTTATAGCAGCAGCTGTTGTTGTTGTTGTTGCAGTTACACCTACCACTGTAGGTGGTTTAGTTATAGCAGCAGCTGTTGTTGGTGCTGCAGCCGTAGTTGCGGCTGCTGTAGGTGCTGCATTAAAACAAACCATTAGTTTGAACATTTGTAAAACATTTTGATCATGTTCTACTCATTACTACTTACATGTTGTGTTCACAATGATTGAGGCGGTTTCAATGTCGAACCCAGTAACGTTTGAAGATGCTTCAATCAACAGTGCTTTAATGTCATCGTTTTGAGGAACAGATGTCATATTAAAGGAAAGCTCAATGTCGTTGACGACTGATCCTTGCCTGCAGAAGGAGAAACAAAAGATTCATTTTGAAGTATTAGATTACCACTATTCTTTAATTGTTACAAATATAATACTGTATCAATCAACACAATACCTGAATGACACCACTCTCATGGACTTGTATGAAAAGAATATCCTTAAGAACATGGGATGAAGCTGCAGAAACAGACATTAATTTGTAATTAAACAACATGGGTATTGTTTGCTGTTCACTAATTTCTAGTAAAACATTCCAAACTATGTTTTCATGAGTTTTTTCTGAAATTAGGATCACTGTATTTTTGACTAAGTAGCAAAAGGATCCTCTTCATAGAATTCACCGTGTTGCAACCGTGTTCACCAGTAAATGCAGACACAAAAGTTCTCTTTCAAGATTTCATTTGCCTTTTATAATTAAACTGTGTATGTGTAAGCAGTTTTTATGGTTTAAAATTATTCTACTTAATGTTTTCTTCCTTCATTTTTTGCAAGAAATTTGAATATGTAATATATTTTAAGTACATATACTCTCTAATAAGTTTTCAGTCTTTAGGTTGAGGTATTGAGGTCTTTGATACAATAATTCAGTAGTTAAACCAGATTCAAAGGACAAACTTACCTCTTCCATGATCATTTTAGAGCGCTTTAAAAAAGCTTGAGATGTTGGAATCAACAAATCAGAAGAAAAAATGGATTGAAGTGATCTGAAAGTCACAAATCTTGTTGTGACTTCTAAAGTTGTAGGTGTGGTAACTGTTGGTAAAGCTATAGTTGTAGGTGTTGCAGTTTTAGTCACTGCAGTTGTAGTTGCGTCTGTTGTAGTTGCCGAAGTGGTTAATGAGGTTGTTGCTCCCAATGTTGTAGTCGCTGCAGTTGTAGCAGCAGCTGTTTTTATTGCTACTGTCGTCGCAGCCAAAGTTGTTGGGGTTGCTGTTGCCGCAGCAGTTGTAGATGCTGCAGTTGTCGGTGCAGCTGTTGTGGGTGCTGCAGTTGTAGGTGCAGCTGTTGTGGGTGCTTCAGTTGTAGGTGCAGCCGTTGTTAGTGCTGCCGTTGTAGCTGGAGCTGTTGTGGGTGCTGCAGTTGTAGGTGGAGCTGTTGTGGGCGCTGCTGTTGTAGGTGCTGCAGTTAGAGGTGCAGATGTTGTTGGTGCAGCTGTTGTAGATGCAGCCGTTGTGAGTGCTGCAGTTGTAGGTGCAGCTGTTGTGGGTGCTGGAGTTGTAGGTGCAGCCGTTGTGGGTGCTGCAGTTGTAGGTGTTGCAGTTGTAGCTGGAGCTGTTGTGGGTGCTGCAGTTGTAGGTGCAGCTGTTGTTGGTGCTGCTGTTGTAGGTGCTGCATTTGTAGGTGGAGCTGTTGTGGGTCCTGCTGTTGTGGGTGCTGCAGTTGTAGGTGCTGCAGTTGTAGCCGGAACTGTTGTTGGTGCTGCAGTTGTAGGTGCAGCTGTTGTTGGTGCTGCTGTTGTAGGTGCTGCATTTGTAGGTGGAGCTGTTGTGGGTCCTGCTGTTGTGGGTGCTGCAGTTGTAGGTGCAGCCGTTGTCGGTGCAGCTGTTGTGGGTGCTGCAGTTGTAGGTGCAGCTGTTGTGAGTGCAGCTGTTGTGGGTGCTGTAGTTGTAGGTGCAGCCGTTGTGG